CGTGTTTCCTGGGTTAAGAACTCTGCGCTAAGTCATCCTCTTTCCAGAGTTGGCTTAAGGCACTGAAGTATTGCCTGGCCTCCATCTATTAATTGTACCTCTTCAAGTTTTGGTTCTAGACTAGTCAATGTCCCTTCTTCTAGGTTAGGAGTCAGGTTTTGAAAAAACTCAGCCTCATCATACCTTTTCCTAGTTAAGGACAGAGCCACAGCAATTCCAGAATCAGTGCCAGGGACACTTAGGCCTAGAGGTCCCCAGGTCAGCAGGCACAATAACACAAGTGGCAGAGCTAGAGCTTTGCAGGGTCCTCTTCACTCTTATGCCTCATGGACAAACATGCAGAGTGTCGGGTATGACTTCTGTGGTGTGTGTATATTAAAGGTTCACAACAGAAAAATTGATATCCCTGAAGAATGGTGGTATGAATAATATAAACAGCCTAACATTTATGAAGCTAGCTTTTCCAGAGTGAGTTACCCAGAGTCCAGGAATACTAACCAAGTAAAATGGATTCATACTATCCCTCCAACTATCTCCAGTAGGAAAAGACAGGTTTCATTTGTACTTTACAATTATATTCACAGCTCAATCTTAAACATTCAGGTTTTTTATAATTGTTATCCATAGTGATAAATGTAAAAATCTGAAATTATTGAGGGCTTGGTTCATCTGGCAGATATAGTTATTAATTGCAAAACACTACAAGAATTGTAAACTATCATATTAGAAGGAGGACGAATTAATGCTAAGAGTGTGTGTTGTGAAGTCAGACTGGCTGTGCCATTTACTACCACTTACTGTGCAATCATAATTAAGTCTCCACCTCAGTATCCCTGTATGCAAAATAAGGATAATAATAGTACCTACATCATAGGGACATTGTGAGTACAAAATGAGAACATCCCGGGTTCTTCATCATTCAGATCCATCCCCATTCTCCAAATATTTTTGAAACTGTGTCAGTTGTTTAAATTAATAGAAAAAAATAAAAGAATATATTTTCCAGTGCTTTTAAAAAAGGAAGCATTTCATGGATACTAATCAGTTCTTAGGACAAAGTGTATGTGTGGACAGTAAACAGTGGATAGGTTGTCACCTGTGGTACATAAGGGTGGGGGCATGGGGTCAAGGATAAAGAAATAGTCTCCAAAGGTGGAGGCAATGAATAGGAAAATATTTTAAAAACACGGGTTTTATTTCAAAATAGAGATGTATTAAGATATTTCTTAAGCGGTCAAATGGGGGAGAGGACTAGAAATGGTGGTTGGATTCTTTAAGAACAGTCCATCCTTAAGAATTTTTTTAAAGGTTTCTCTGATTTTATTGCCAGAAGGGATATTGTTAAAATTTCCAGTGTAACAGGCAAGATGGTTTATATCTAATTTCTGAAATGACATGCAGTTAATAAAACTTCATTAAGAACTCTTTTATTTAAATGGACCTAATGATCTCAATTCCTATAAAGCATTTGAGTCCAGCTCTAAAACCAACTGGTAGTTTGATTAGACACAGTCTATACCTACAGAAGCCCATGTCTACCAGCTGAGTTTTCATTCATGACACACAATCGCTCTTTACGGCCTGCACATTCTCACAAATTTCTGACCCTGGGCTTCTTGGCTGGCTGTCGGCTGACCTCCAGCATTTCAGTTCCCACATTCTCTCACATGCTGGGTGAAGCCCACTCTCCAGCTGGGAAACTTGCCCGATGTTCACCACACCCACCAGGACTAACGCTTTCCATGGCATGGAAAATCCAACTACCTCATCACTCCCATTAAATTACTACCCAGAATCTGCCTCCTCTATGAAATTATTCAGAGTCCTGAATCCCACCTCCTGCCAATGTATGTAAGTGTGAGTACATCTGCATAAACCCAGGCATCCCTTCTTCTTAAAAATGTGAATTCCTTTGATGGGGTTTACAAATAAATATCTCTTCTGTCTATGAGTATGCCTACAGGACTAATGAAAAAATATGTGGCATGTTAGTAAATATTGACTGATTTATACAATTTTATTTTTTAGTTTAATATATTACATTTTATTTTTATTGCCAATAATAAATAGAAGCAAAACACATTTTTGGCATTAAGAATTTTCACTCTGGAGGCAAACTATATTGTTACTAATACCAGCTCTATTATTTACATTATGTTATTCTCTCTACAATTCAGCTGTCACAACTGTTAAATGAAGGTAATAATAGTATCTACCTAATAGGATTATTTTGAGGATTAAATGAAATAATCCATGTAAAGTACTTTAAAAAAGGACACAGTACATATCAAACACTCAATAAATGTTTGTAGAGTTGTTCCTGTTACCATTAATTTGTCGGAAAAATATAACTGTCCATTCTAACATTTGACTGTAAGTTGGAGTGACTCATACAACAGGAGTCACAAATTATGAAAGTGTCCATTTGTCTATATTTAAGTTTGTGCCTTTTCCTTCAGAAATTCTAAAATTGTATCTGGAGATCAACATCATAAAAACAAATTGTTGCTTCTCATCATATGTACCCAAAACAATTAGACTTGCCAATACTTTTCCCCTCTTTTGTCACAGGTAAGTGTGAAGTCAGCCGTCACCTCCTAGGGTGAATCCAATGGACAGGCCGATTCCTATCCCACTTGACCTCCTCTCCTTTCCACCCTCCCTCTGTCTCTTCCTTTGACTCCCAGACACATGCCCTGATGGTTTGCTTCACCTTTCTTGGGACCAATACTTCTTAGTCTTTTGTGGGCACCTCTTCCCTTTCTTCAAATAGTGCTGCTGCCCAGGTACTTTCCTTTCTCACTCCACACACTTGCCCTGAGTGACTTCATTTTCTCTCAGGATTTCAACTGGTTGATGACTCCACATCCACTTTACTGCCACTGCCTGAGGCCAGGCCCTCATCACTTCTAACCTAGCCTACAGAAATCGTCTCTTAAATGTTCCCCTGGTTGCCATTTTTTCCCACTTTAAATTTCTCCTTCACATGACCACCAACCAGCATGACTTTCCTAAACTGTCAATCTGACCTCATCACCCATAAGCTAAAGCTCACCGATGGTTCCCCTTACCTTGCTAGATAAGATCCTAAAATCTTTAAACTATTGATTTCTTCTACGCTTTAATGACCTACATTAAGAAGGCACCCTACAAATTTTTATTGATCAGATTATGCCCAGTTCAAACAAGAGCATGGTTCTGGAAGTTATTCAAATCATTTTCTATTATAAATTATTGGTTGCAGCCTTAAAATCAATTAGAAGAGGTTTTCAACTCCATTTGAACTGAAAATTTTTACAACAATTCAATTCTATGCCACACACACACAATTATGCATTGTCACACTTAAAAATAGAGTTTTTTAGAGAAAACTTATAGGTTTTCTTATAACTTATAGAGAAAAACTTATAGAGAAAAATTAAAGGTTTTTCATTATATAAATGCATACACTTAAATATACTTAAAATCAGTTATACAAAGGAAACAGGGTAATAATGAAAACTGATTATTCCATAATTTGACAGCGTTGTCCACAACTTTAGAATGTGGATCCATTAGAAATTCCTGACCCCCATAGTATAGAACTGCTAAAATCAATCTTTTGCTATAAACTGATGAACACCTGTTGAGGGTCCACATGTCTCAGAGCCTCTGTGAACATGTAGGAACAATATAGGATGTGTAGGAATTCAAGAGAAATTGCTAAAGGAAGAAGACCTGCTGGGTTAGCAGCCTAAGTTCTGAATTCTGCCCTGACCATGGCCCTACAATCTCACCATGAGACTGAGATGATTAATTAGCCTTTCAAGATGTTACTGTCTTCATCTTCAGAATGGGGGGCTTTAATTAAACACATCTCTAAGGCCCTTGTGAGCTTTGAGATGTGACTATTTAGCTATGGCATACTCACAGAACAGAAAAGCCCTCCTCTGAACATGCTTTGAGAAGGATCGAATCCACTATGTCTCTCAGTCACAAATGTGCAAAGGCCTCTTAGGTGCCCAGACTTGATGGTGCTCCCCAATCTACATTCCTACAAGTCTTCACTAAAATCTTTAGCTTTCTCACAGCTTTGACAGTGCTGGACATTTTCATATAATGTAGCCTGAGTTGTTTCAGGCTTGAATCAATAAAAATTCAACATATTCCCCTACTTCCTGCTTTTAGATACAAGTAGTGATACCTCCTTAACCTTCCAGTGACACCACTAACACTTCATAAGGGGAGGACTGAGTTAGTAACTAGTGTGTGTTTTAATCTTCCGTTTCTTGTGTTAGGGATATAACAGTTATAGGCAGTAAAATTCAGAGAGTAAAGTAGGCTGTATTAGACAATGTAAGACGTCCACACCATCACAGTCATGGCTGCTGGATATGTTTTCTGTGGTGTATTGGATAGGATTATAAGTGAATCGGACTGGCTTTAGCATTTTGTACCACATTTTGCTTTATGAGGAGCTGCAAGCCAAAGTCTATATGGTTAGACTTGGAGTTTAGCAGCATAACCAATAAAATATAATGAGACAGAAACAAGTCTGCATTCTACAGTGCATCAATTGAACAGCCATCCCCGCATTAAACAACTCTGCTGATACTTGAAGATGATGTCGTGTAGTTACTATTGCACTCCTGTCAATTACAGGCAGGGTCCTCCAAAGAAGGTGAAAAGAGAATGCATTGTGTTTATCTGCATTATCTAAGCCCATCCCCCAAAGAAGAATGAAATGTGCTTCACATACTCAAGCCAAGTTATCCACATTAAGTCAGAAGCCCAAAATTGAGAGAAAATTCAGCAGTCAAATTCCAGTTTGCTTTGATTTGACCTTGTGTTTGTTGGAAGACTTGTAAGCGTTAGAATTGAGTAAAAAAAAAAAAAAGTGTAAAAATGTGATATGTTATAAAAAATAGACAATTAATCCAGTCACTGTCAGTCCAAGAAGTGTGAGATTCCTCCTCGAGATCACACTGGCCCCTGGAATTTGAGCTCTGAATGTCACTTACCCTATGACGATACAGGAGATGGCAGTTCCCAAGAAGGCATACGTTAAAATAGATCCCAAGTTTTGAAAAAAGTGTCTCTGGGGAGAAAACAATGTATATTTCAGGTACTACATCAGCACATTTCCCTAGTGTAACAGGAAATAAAAAATAAATGTAGGCATTTTCACTGCCCCTCCCATCCCTCACTGTTTAGGCAAATGTTTTTGTTGGAGCCTTAATTCCTGGCCTCACCCTACAAAGAAAACTTAACTGATCTGCACTGCAAAAGATAAAGGTTTCTCAAAAACATAGGGGGAAGGAACGTCTGGAAGGTGATGGAGTAGAGGTGAGAGAAACAACAGATTTAGTTGTTAGACCTGGCTAGACCTGAGAAAAAAGGAAGGGACTGGGACAGGGTCCCTGCAGGACTCTGGAAAGAGTTTTTAAGAAGTTTCGTTGTCACGGGAACCCTTTAGTATTTTTAAAATACTATTCTAAAAGATGTAAGTTTCCTTTTGACTTTAATATTGGATCTCTGCCTTGTATTTCTTCTAAATGTCATGAAACAAAACCGTAATCACTTACAACTGTTTTACAGAATCACCCAAAATGACACCTAGCATTGGAGCTGGGGATGAGGAAGAACAACCTGAATAAATCCTGCCTCCTCAATCTTGCCAAATGCTTGCTGGGGAAACTCCCTTCCAGTTCTGAGTGGGATCTGAGGAGCCAGGGCTGACAGCAAGAGGGAGCCTGGCGTACACACGGCCAGGTCTGTACTGAACAAGTTGCCTCGCTGCTGGAACTGACAGGCCAGAAAGGAGGGCCTGGGAGTCTCGGAGTGGGGGTGGGCAGCCAAAAGCAACCTCACAGAGGCCAGTCTCGTTTTGTGGCACAAGGGGTGCTAGCACTTACACCACTGTGAGAGTTACTAATCTATGGAACGTGCACATTCAGACTGTACAAGTGCGTTGAAACTGCAAAACGGGGCTTTCTCTGAGTGAGCACCAATGGTTGAGTATTAGCAAAGCATTCTTGAGTTTTCACCCAGTGTTAATTAACAGTGAACTCTTTGTTTACAATCATCTAGAATAATAATGTTCAATAGAAATACAATGTAAGCCACGTATGTCATTTGAAATGTTTCTAGTAGCCACATTAAAATGTTTTAAAAAGGAAAATGAGTGTTGATAATATATTTTGTTCAACCCCATATATCCAAAACATTATCATTTCCACATGAAATCAATATAAAACATTACTGAGATCTTTTGCATTCTTTCTTAATACTACGTCTGAGACATCCAGTGTGTTTGACACTGAAAGTGCATCTTCATTCAGACTACCACATCACCCGGGATGAAGAGCTGCATATGGCTAACGCCCGAGTAATGGACAGAGCAGGTCTAGAGAATTCCAAGCATGTCAGATTTGAATCTGCATCACATAGTATAAGACAATGATAGTCTCGCCAAACAAGTAAACCCATACAATATTTTTTTTTCTTAGTGCTGGTAAAATTCTCTACTTAATGATAAAAGAAGAAAGCAATCACTTCCTATTTACCTTCTTCAGGCTATATCCTGCATGAAATATAATCGGCGGCAGCAAAACATTGAAGAAGATTTCCGGATCAAATGTCATCTGCCAGAAAAGACAAAAGTGCAGTTAGGAACATGCTCCTTTGGGCCACTAAAAATGTGATTTAAAAATACAGTTACATCACCTTTGCTACGGTTGCATGAGGCATATTAACATGCTATTAAGTTAGCAGGATAGAAATAAGAGAAAATGCAAACATAGCAATTCATAAGTATGATATAACTGTAAAGTCATATTATAAATGTAAAACCTAGACTCCATTCTATAGCTAGTAGCAACAACAACAACAAATAAAAATAAACCTCAGTGAAACTTTTCGGGGCAAAAAAAACTTTTTCCTTTTATTTTGACTAGTTTTTCATTCCTCATATTTTAAATGTTTTTTATTCTATTCTTTTTTATTTTTTTCTTGTCAAAGGAATTGGTGGTGTTCAAACATTTTAGCTTCTGACAAGGATTTATTTAAATTTTAACCAAGTAAAACATTTTTAGAAATTCAGTCTTTGTTTTCCTGACTTTATCCCATTCCAAAGTTTAAAATATATTTTAGACTCTGTGGAAAAACACGTTTGAAAATGGAAATAGGCATTCTAGTATTTGCTTATTGGCTTTTATTTCAATGTTAAAATAAACTTGGCCCCCCAAAAATTACTTGGTGAGAAGTACAATGAAATGAGATGTAGAAATTCTTGAATCCAATATCTGCTATTTGCTGGTTAGTCTGAAAATAAAAACATTTAACATTTAAATATCTCTCTCTCTCTCTCTCTCTCTCTCTCTCTCTCTCTCTCTCTCACACACACACACACAATGCCATTCATTATTTCACCACTAAGGCCTTCTTACCATTACACAGTACTCATCAAAATCTTTCAGATGTACAGACTCCACAAATATAATTTCAATTTTCCTCCCCCTTTGACTCCTGAATTCTCGCTCATCTCTGGAGCTGGATCTCAAGAGCTACTCCTCTTTGAAATTGCTTTGACTTCCCAGTCAGAACTGACCATTCTGCCTCCCATGCTCTTTCAGCACTTTGAACTCTCCCTGGTAGTGTATGAGCTTCTTAACATGCTTTACATGAAAACTGGTTTGTGTTTGAATGTTTCCCCCAAGAAGTGGGGACTTATAAGGATCACAGTGATGGCTTAGTCAGTTCTAGGTCACTTCCATCCCTCCCAGTGCTAGCCCATTGCTCAATACAAATTTACTGAATTGGGGGGAAAAAACTACTTTTGAGAGTCACATCCTTTAAGATGCAATGAATGATATGTACCTATAATATCCTTGCACACCACAGGTAAGGCTAAAGTACAAATTAGGAAAAGCATCTCTTGACTCCGTTTTCTACTTTGGGCCATATTGAACATTGCCAGAGTCCCTCACCTCCCTCCCCCATAGCGGCCCCTCAATTCTACCCTTCTAATAGTTGGGGTGGGGGAGGTAGGAAAAGCAGGAGCCACCTAATTCAGCCAGGTCCCCTTTCATAAACCTAGTTATATGTCCTAGTTATTGAGCTACAACTCCTGTACCAGTGATCATTCAGGTAGATCAGCTATGGCCCATCTATATAGCCCTCTGTGCCCCATTTTCTTCATCTTTAAAATGGGCATAACAATTGTGATACCTCATTCTAAGGTAGTTGTAAAAATTAAATGAATTAATATTTGTACAGGCCTTGCAGCACTGCCATCTAGTAAGATTTTTAAGTGTTTATTACTAAAGGTAAAACAGTGAATAAATATTTTGAAGTTATGCTATCTGAAGTTTACAAGTATAAAATTTGGGCAAAGATATTACTTTTGCTTCTATGTTTACTCTTTTTTCAAAGATAATCTGAAACACCATTGTTGATTCATTTTTATGAAGCTTCTTTGCAAGTATGTCAATTGCATTTTTGAACGTTTTTAGCAAAAAGAGAAATGTGCTTCTAGGTTCTGGAGGAATGAAGCACTGTGGCTGTGATCACCTGGAAGAGAGAAGTACGGTGGCACAGCATAACCTCTCGGATAGAACACCCCCTGCCTCGGCAGGTTTTTTGCAAAAATCAGGTTAATCACTCAACCAGAACATTTCAATAATCAGAACACCCCATTCCCTGTATACAGGCTAACTAATGTGCCATTGAATAGTGTTTTCTGGAGCAGCCAGAGGAAACTGGCAGACTGGGCATGCAGCATACGAGGATTTATTTGTATATACAAAACAGATTTGTGTTGCTTTCAAACTTGCTCTAAGCTTAGGAACTGCTAAATCAGAGTTCTGGGAGTCACTCCAAACCCAGACAATTTCTCAGAAATGCTGGATCTGCCGCTGCACTGCCTCCAGATGGTGAGTCCACAGGCCATGTTCCTCAGACTCTGTGTTCAAACCATGACCCTGGAGTTGAGACCGTTTTTAAGGCCCAAATAATTAAAATCTTTCATTATCGTATGAGGGGGGAATATCTAAGACAGAGGTGAATGGGAATAGCAGAAAGGTAAAAAAATTTCAGCCAAAGATACAAGTCTTTAAAGATCCAAATCTTATAGACTAGCACTGTCCAGCAGAACTTTCTGTGATAATGGAAATGTCCTGTAACTACCACATAGTGGCCCTATGTGGTAGCCACTAGCCACAAGAGCTGTGGAGCAATTAAACTGTAAGCTAGTGCAACGCAGGAGTGAATTGTTTTTTATTTTCACATCTGTGGCTAGCCACTATTGGACAGTACATTTATAGACAGTTACTAGAGTTTAAAATTGTATACCATTCAATTTTTAGATGGTCTATCATCCTATACAAGGTATGGCTAATTTGGAGCAACAGACCTGAGACTCTGAAATGGAAAAGTTATGGATGCTACATGAAAACAGTGAGATTTTTAAATATTGGGATTTAATTTTAAAGTACCAGATAATATGAAGGACACAGAAATATCAATATGTTCACCAAGATGCAACAGTTTTAGCTACTATCTCATATACGCACCAGGATTAGGCTAGGAATGGCCCAGACATATCCACAGAGATAGTGAATTTGAATACTTCCAAGAGTAAAACAGAAATGTACCAAGTTTAATTCCCAAGTTCATTGTGTTATCATAGGCAGAAACAATAGGGCCGTGGGAAGAGAGGGGCAGGAAGGATAGAAGGAGGTGAAGGGAAACAAAGCCGGGAAGAGACGAGATGGCCCTTAAGAAAAAGTGCAGCTACCAGACCGGCCAGAACTGGATTTCAGAGGCTGACAGAGGACCCAGGATGCCATCTTGTCACTTTCCGGAACTTGAGCAAATTATAATGGATTATAATATTATTAGTTTGCGGTTTAGGAAAATCTCCACCCCGCGTGTCACCATGACAGTTCCAAGAGCCAAATAAAGACAAAAATCCCTCTTCCCGAAGGGAAGCGGCGTTCAGCAAGGACCCGCCTTGGAACGCAGGAAACACCAGCTCTAAATCTTGAATAGTTCACGCTTCATGGTAACTGTGATAAATTCCCAAGCCCCCGCTTTTGTTCGCTTTTCTTTGGCGCAGCTGCTCTTCCCCCGGCATGCTGCTCTCACCATCCTGAGAGCCTAGTGTCCTTTTTTTTTTTTTTAATAGATCCACCACTTGCTTGGCTTATTCGGTGTATCCTTGAATTCTTTCCTGCAACAAACACCAAGAACGCTTTTTTTTTTTTTTGGTCAACAGTCAGAAGGTTAAAGATACAAAATTCTGTTTGGGCCTGAGTATTAAGATATCCAGCAACCCAATTATGACTTATATGAAAAGAAATACCAGTGTTCTACTCAACTAATAAATAAATAAGAGCTAAATAACCATATTAATGTTCGGGGTGTGAGGGGGACGACACTGTGATTTCCGTGGCATGTTACTTCCAAAGAGGCCCCATAAAAACATTGTTTCATCAACTCTGACAACATCCCTGAGTGGTAGCTGGCAGGTGCAGTTATCCCCGTTTTCCAGAGACGAGAGGAGCAATGACTGACATGCCCAGTGTCAAGTCATGTGACAGGGATATCTCAGGGAATTCGCTGTACATGCATGGGCAAACGAATAGGAACACCAAGGGAACATCAAGCCAACATAACTAACTACTTAAAAGCAAGATTTCAGAGTGTTCAAGAGAAGTTGGTACTCAGAAATAGACTTTCATTATTTTGTCAATTACCAACGCCTTTGGAAATGTGAAAATGGTTTAACACAATAATGTGTTCAATCATCGTCCATGTTTTATTCATTAAACATTTAACAAGCCTCTTCTCTGCTGCAAAGTACTTAAAGATAGGGAGTAGGTAGATTGAATCCATGAAGATCATGGTCAAAAAAAGAAAAGACACTGTTTAATTTCAGTACAAGGCAGGGGGTGAAGCTATAATTCAAAGTTCTCTAGGGCAGAGGCAGTAAGCTTGCTGAACCTACAGGAAGGCTTGATGCGAAAACATCATGGGTAGGAGCCTATCTGTGGGGCATCAGCGTACAGGACCCTGCTCCTTTGTCTGCCCTGGAGGCAGTGGGCCAGGGTTCACCAAGCCACACAGGAAACTGGCAGCTTCCTGGAGTTTCAGTTATACTTGATAGCAGGCACTTTGAAATATTTTAAATATTAAAATAAATGCAGCTATATTAAAAAGTGAAATTCAAAATCTGTGTTTGTTTTTATACAAATAGGAGACTTCAAAGAAATCCAAGTTCCCTAGGGGCAGGAGGCTTTGGGGTGCACCTACAGACATCTCAAAGGCGAGCATTTCCTTTCTTTTGCCCTAAGTTTTGCTTTGGTGTGAGAAGCACTAGGGTGGGGGAAAGAAGAATAGATTCCGAATATCTGATGAAAGTATAGCAGATACTAATTAGATGACCTTGATCTATTTATTTAACCTCTCTGAACCTCCGTTTCCTCATTTGCAATATGGGTGTGCAAAGGCCTACTTCCTAGAGTTACTATGGTGGATTCAGTATAATAACAGATGCAAAGGTTTCTACGTGGTACCCAGCCCTGTTTCTCAAGAAGTGTTCACTGTATCTGAATCTAAAGGAGAGAAACGGGTGAAGCAATGA